TAAAAAGTGATGCTCTCCCTTGCAGCCATCAGCAGTGATGTTTTATGTTATGAAACATTTTGTTTTTAGTATTTTTTAATACTTGTACTTGCTCTGGCTTCATGCTGTGTATATCTCATCTCCGACTTATTTCTCTAAGCAGTTCTATTCTCTATTCATAAAACACAGACTACTGATCGTCATGAATAAAAAAAAAACTTTTTAAACTACTTGTAGTAATAAAGAAGGCAAAGAGTGGGAAATTCAAGGGCTTTTAAAGTATCTACACTACATTTGAATTCATTTTCACCAACAATGAATAACCTACATCACCAGATAGAAACTAATAAAACATTCATGTGACTAACTAGAAAGAATAACTAGAAGGAAACTTTGGAGGAGCACAGCAAAAGAATCAGAGAGATATTGTGTCTTAACAAACCTCTTGGTTGACTTTCTTCCTAACAGCTCTGTTCATCTCCTGAAATTTGACCACAGCAATTCCTTAAGCCCAAATAAAACAAGCTACAACTTTAACACATGGCAGATTTAACAACTAAAGAAACCTCAAAGGCGGCTTACCTCGTCCGTCGGTCTGGGCGGAACCACGGGAGCTCCTGAAGCTTTTCCTCTCTTCTCTCTTGAAAGCTCCTTCTGCAGAGGACAGAATGAAATGAAACCTTTCAGCACAAGACTACTTGTATGACAAAGAAAAGGAGAAATGCACTAGTTTACATATAAAGAAATAAGTACCTTCTCCTCTGCTCTTCTTTGTTTTTCTATTTCATGTAGGGACGTTGCCTTCATCTCCTGAATCCAAACAGATTTAAAGCAGAGGTCAAAGCGCTTTCACCACCACATTGAAATATTTATGGCTGCAGGCAAACCTCTGCTCTGGGTCTGCGGGGGATTCGAGGCGTTTCCCCTTTTTCCTTCCCCTCCTGATGGATCAAATTACTCTTGACCTGTCAAGGACAAAAACACAAAGTGACTTAATGTCCCAGACCAGGAGGATAAGATTAATTTAAAGCGTTCAGGAACGAGACGAGGGTGACGTAGTAGGAAGTGTGGAGGAGGAGGGGCCTGAGTGCAGAGGGAGATTTTATAAGAAGTTGATGTGAAAGTTTGTGGTCAATGATTAGAGGAGGCCGAAGCCTGAAATAGGCGCTCACCAGTTCTGGCTTCTTTTCTGATCGTTTCCTTTTCTCCTCAAAGGTCTCTGGGTTTTCAATGTCCTTCTGAGCAGATGAAAAAAAAATATAAATAAAACTTTGTTTTCTTTCTTCTTAACCTTTCAGAGAAATGGCTCCATTTAAGCTTATCATATATCATCCATTTTTACTTTTCAGATTGAAAAAAAATAATAATAATTTTCTCAGCTACAAAGACATTGATCACAGATTTTGTCCTTATTTTAGTGAATTTCTATTTAATTAATTAAGGCCCGTCTGACTGTAAATAGGTCAATGGCCAAATAAAAACAAGAATATCAAGTGGTAAGATGACAGTAAAAACTATTCAAACTACATTTCAAATTTTTCTTTTCTGCACACTGACATAAAAACATGCAGCACTAAAAGCAACATAATTTAAATTTAAAAAGGTTCAATTTTTTAAACCTTATCCTGTAAAATAAACACATAAATGTAACAAGAATCAGTGATTGATAATCAATGGTTTCCCTTTCCCAGCCCTGATTGTCTTGATTGTCTCCCTCACCACCACCTTCAACCTCACCAAACAGGATAGTTACTTTAGCTCCAGAGTGGAACGGATTCAGTTTGGACATGGCTTCAACTATGGTGCTCTGAGAGGGAAAACGGCACGAGAAATTATGTGCTTCTGTAACTTTGACATATAGCAGATACATTTAACTCAGCAGTTTGAATCTTAACCCAAAGAACAGCTCAAACAGCAGAGGGATTAAAAACATTTTTAACTCAACTGATGGTTCTTGAGCTAATGAGAAAAAGGAACTTATTTTCTATTATTTTTATCTAATTAAACCATTAAAAGGAAAATGTAGAAATAAAAGCACCTGTTTGTGAGTTGATGACTTCTCGCTGCTCACAGTTTGATCTTCGTCATCCGATTCTGTCGGCTTCTCTTGCTGAATTGAAAAAAATTAAATAAAAATCACTTTCAGGTGAAAACATAAAAAACGAAATCTGAAATTTGGATTTATTTCAGTTACGGACTTTTTGTCTAAATGGATTCAGCTTCGTCATCGCTCCAGCCAGCTTACTCTGAGTCAGACACAAAAAGAGAGAAAAAAAAAATGTACTGGTATATGAAATAGAACATAAATAGAAAGTGGAATAATTTCCTAAATATTATCAAACCTGTTTGTGAATAGGCGGATTGTCTCCATCTCCTTCTGATGTTTCCTCATCATCAGGCGTGGAGTTCTTCTCCTGAAGATCAAACATTTAAATAAAGAAACATTGAATATAAACTTCTCCCTTTATCTTTTCCTGTTACTACGACATATTTCCTCAGGATTATAGGTGACAGAGCAACAGGAAATAGTGCAGAATTATATAAAAAGAAAAGTTTCCAGCATGGTTTACGATGAAAAATCTGCTGTGCTTTTATATTCTTTAATCTAGTTCTGATAAATAACATTTATTTACCTTCTTAACTTCTGTATTTGTACATCAATAAAATAACTTTTTTTTTTATAGATTAATTTTTGTTTTCTCATTAATTACTATTAAATATCATTGAGCATTTTTTGGGTTAGTAACTAATTGGACTGTAGTTTGTTTGAGGGAAAAAGTCGAGCGAATAAATCCCTACTGTCACCTGTTTGTCGCTGTAGAAGGTGCTCTTCATCACGGCACTGAAACCAGTCTGGAAAAATAAAACATTGATTCCATAAGATTATTAAAAACAGAAAAGTGTGACCAAGTTGCTGCAAAACAACAATTAAAAACATATAACTAAAGAAACCAACTCTTTTGGGTTTAGCTTTTGGTGAGGCAGAGTTCATTTCACTTGGGTCTCCCCCGTTTTCCCTCTTTGGTTTTTCCTAAAACCAAATCCAAAGCAATGTTACCCATCAGAAAGCACCTCAAGACTGAAATACATGAAACAAATGTTCTTCTTTCGAGAAATTACCTGAGCTGACGAGGCTGAAGGGTTCTTCAGGTTCTTCGCTGTCGGCCCACTCTGGCAAAAGATCAAGCATCAGACTAAGGAACTAGATTATCTGACATTCAGTGCAGAACCAGTTCAGCAAGTCACATGATTAAAAAAAAAATCTCAAATTTCTAAAAAAACAACAATTTCAAACGCCATTTTGTTTGACTTTTCAAAATTTCCCTTAAAATTTTAGAAAATTCTGATCATGCAAGTAAAAAAAACATTTACATAGTTATAATTATTTGCATATTTCAAGCATTAAAACAAGACAATGGTGAGGTCATCCTTTTGTATGATAAAGGCATATTTCTATTTTTCCTTTGGTCAGCTCCTGAAAGAACTTCTATCAGCTTAATTTCAAAACCTACACTTAGAATTGTATATTGCGGATTTCCCGACCGTATACTGGAAACCTGTCCAATATGAGCCAGAAATAACAAATACTGGACTTAGAGGCCTGGATCGAACGTTTCTGATAAGCTCATAGAAACACTCTGCTTCTGTCCAGTCTGCTCAAAGTTGATGTGACCCACTAGTTAATGATAATTGGCCAAGCAATGACCCGTTTGTCCCACTTCCATTACGAAACTGGTTCAGCACCATTAAAACCAGAACAAATAGACTTAACAGTTGGCTTCCTAAGCCTATGAAGGCAACCAACCCAAAAAAATGTCCATTCATACTGCTGCAGCTGGGCCTTTTAAAGTCTTGATGATTCAAAGTCTTTAGAAGTTAAAAAAAAAAAAAAACAGTTTGGCACCACTGGCGTGGAAACTTTTAGGTTAATACAAAAAATACATAAAATGAGGGGAAAAAAACACTTGATAGAAACATTTGATCATTTACCTTTGAAGACTTTTCAGTGAGATCATCATTGTTGGCTGAGAGCTCCTCATCTACTGATAAATCATCCTGCACCAAGAAAAGCAAGTGAAATGTGTTTCAGTGAAGCATGCAGACTGTGATCCGGCACAGACCAGCTAGTTAGTATTACTGAACAACTCCACAAATGAAAAAATAAACAGGCAGTTTGGAATTTAATTTCTGTCATGTTAAATATTGGTTCAGTCAATTCTAGCTAAAAAGTAACTTTGAATTGAAATAAAGAAAAAAAAAAATCCAAAATAAATGATCTGTCAGATTCATTCCTTTGACCAACATTCAGAGTGTGAGCTGCAACTAGGAAACTCCTGCTGCATGCCTTTTTAGATGAAGTTGGTCAGTAGGTAGGTGATTCATTTTTATTTAAAAAAGAAAACAAACCCATAACCGGAACCTTTTATGGAGAGAAATCAATCTGCATTCACAGCTGTCTGCATGAAAATTGGGGATAGCTGCAAGTATAAACTGCCTATTTAAATCCCTGATTACATGCATACATGAATACTGCAATATAAACTCGAACTTTTTTAATAGTTTTTCATCAGCTAATGGAGGTTGTGTTTAAGGATACCATAAAAGATCTAGATAAGTTGTTGATGGCTCACAAGAACTTAGCTTTTCCAAAAGTAACTGATTCATCGTATTTATGATTACAACAGAGCTATGCAGGATTTTTGTGTATTAAAATGTAAAGTCCCTCCTACATTATATGCAGATAAAGGACACAATCCCTGCGGTTACAATGAAAGCGCACCAAGTACTGAATTTTAACTGGGTAAAAATGGCCACGGCATCCATCACATTTCATGAAAAATATCTAATATCTTACCTGAGACTGAGACCTTGCAACTTTTTTCTTGAACATACCGAAGAATCCTTTATCCTAAAAAACAAACAAACAAAAAGAAAGTAAATTCTGAGGCACTATAGTAGAACCTGGCTGTGTCCACTGAAGCCATTACCTTGGTGTTGTTCTCAGAGAGATTTTCACTGCTGCCCGACAGCTCACCGACTCCAGTTAAATCCTCCTGAGTTTGGGACAGAAATATTCATCACTTGACATCATCTGTTATCACCATGTAGAAGCAAAAGGATCAGGAGTCGTTTCGTTGCTCCAACCTGAGATGGCGCTCGAGCTCCAAATGGGTTTTTAAAGAAGGAGCTAAAACCGCCAGATTCCTGAAGACAGCGAGTCAGATTTTAATCACATCCTGAATGTTCAAAGTTAGAAAAGCATCCTCTGAACATTGGACCTGCTGTCAGCTAAAAAAAAATTCCTTACTTTGGTCTTGGAAAGACTGTCGTTACTTTTGGAGAGTTCGCTTTGTGCAGTCAAATCTTCCTAAAGGAAAATTAAACAAACTTCTTTGATTAATTTATATTTATATAATTACTGCAGAACATTAAAATAGAGGCATAACAGGTACCTTTGAAGCTGCTCTCATTCCATTGGCTTTTAGAGAGTTTTTCACCTTTCCTGGTGACTCCTAAAGAAACACAATAAATTAAAGTTGATCGAGCCTCTAGTTTAGTTTAGTTTAGTTTGCTGTATTATAGAGTGACAGTAACAGATGCTTTGTTTTTTTGTTTAAACTGTTTGTAGCAGCCAGATGAATAGGCAGAAATGCACAGAGTCAGGACTTCCTTCAAAATGCTGATGCAGGCAGGTTTGAGTCCGACAAGCAACATTAAAATAAGGTCAGGAGCACTGCTCATAACTAAACACTACTAAATACAAAATCATGAATACAACAGCATATAAAACCTCAGAATACCAATACATTTACGGTTTTCTTCAATTTAATTCAATTCAGTTTATTTCTACAGCACCAAATCACAACACATGTCGTCTAAAGGCACTTTACATTTCAACCAGATCAACATTTCTATCTAATAAAAAAAACAGTTCTTCATCTGATAAAACTGTTCCTGAAAAACAGCACATATTTCCACTAAATCGGACAGAAAGAACTGCATAACTTCTGTCAAAAGCGCAGTTTACTGTCAAAATTAGAGCATTACAGTCCAACTTTGCTCCCACTGCTAAAATTAGCAGACTGCAGTGCAAAACACATATTGCTGTTCTATCTCTCTGTTTCTACATTAAGGGTAGAAAAATGACAACTAAACACAAATGTAACTCCGTTCCAGTTTCTGACTGTACATGACCAAATTAGAAATAATGAACACTTTATAATAGTGAGTCCCATGACTCACTATTGTTCAAATGACCAAAAAAAAAAAAAAAAAAAAGTATTTTTCTAGCGGTGCGTTTTAGGAGCAGCCTGTAAGCCATGAACTGTCTCCAATATTTTCACTTTATATTTATGTTTTTAGAGAAAGGTGTGCAGTCATGCGTGTAATTTAAGGAATTTGGCGTCTTATAAACTGAGAAAAACTAAAATACTAGTGAAATGTAGTGTTTTAACTTATTTGAAGCAAGACGTGACCTGGAGATCGTCTTGTGTCTGTGCGATTAAAAGGAAATAAAAATGCTGAGTTTAGATAGAAATCCCTAACCCGTGGTATTTCTTTACCTTTAATTATACTCACTTTCTTGTTATTGCACTCAGAGAGGTTTTCATTAGTAGTTTTAAAGTCCAGGAGATCCTGCAGAAGTCAAGGTAACATAGCATCAGATTATTGCACAGAGAGCTGCCGTTTTCATCATTACCATCTCTGCGTTTCTTTGAGCAAGACGACAAGTAAAATTTGTTCACCTGAGAAGGCCTGCGGGCATGTCCTGGTCTGGGTGATCGCTTCAATATGCCAAACATTCCTGATTTACCCTTAAAAGGGAAAAAAAAATTTTAAATTATGTTTTATGCAGACAAAATAAAAATCACACAAATATTTAAGTGGAGTGACTGCCTAGTGGTTAGGATTTGAGCTTGGAATCCTGAGGTTCTGAGTTTGAGCCCCACTTCCCACAAGCTGCCACTCTGGGTCCCTGAGCAGGACCCTTAACCCCACACTGCTCCCCGGGCGCTGCACAATGGCAGCCCACTGCTACCCAAGGGAATGGGTTAAAACTTCTTAACATCCACCTCATTTTGGGAAATTCTTGCCTATTTTGCATACCCAAATGGAAAAGCAAATAACTTAGGAACTGTAAGCCCAAATTACATGTGTGATATGTTATCTAAAAAGCTAACACCTTCTAGTTTCTGAATATATACATGGGAATTTGGTGAGTAAAACACAGCCCAAGCTGCATGAGTTCAAACATGACCCAAAGTTGTTATTTTTATTCTTGTAAATAATAGGTCTTATTTGAACAGCAGTAATAAAGACCTGCTTGCTTGTTGTGGCTGCTTTGTCATGTTTACATTTTGCCATGCTGCTATATCTGGGTTAATTGTGCTTTGTTGCTCGCTGTGTCCATAAAATGAACTCAGTGGTTGAATTGTGTAGAATCTAATCTTTCCAACGATGTCTAACATGTCTATAATTGTAAACAATTTACCGGAGGAATTTTAACTCCTTTTTAGTGGTAAACACTTTAAAACGGTGGGTTTTGAGAGGTTAAATGCAGAGGTAAATTTCTCCAATGTCAGATCAATAAAGTTCACTTATTATTATTATCATCATCGTTATTATTAAACATAAAGAAGGAAGTACCTTAGTTGACTTATTGTCTGTTAAGCTGTCACTACTGCCAGATAGTTCAGGGTGTTGTGAGGAAATTGCTGCCTCCTGGGGAAAAAGGAAAAGTTTAAAGGAGATTATTAGTAAGATGCAACTGTGCAACAGTGTTACTTGAAGAAAAAAACTAAAACTATAAATTTCATGAACAAGAAAAAAAAATGCCCCATTTCCTTCAAGGAAAGGATGCTAATCACTGCACTGCTACTTCAATGGTAAGGAGTGTTTCCACTGATAGTTTATTAGATTCTTTAATATTTATTCATGATCAACATCCTGCGCTTCTGGATGAAGTCAATCTGCGAAGGTGAAAACAAACCTGAGGCTCATCATCTTTAGCAGGTTTCGTCGTTCTCTTAAACATTCCTTTCAACATTCCTCCCTTTTCCTGAAACCATGAGGAAAGCAGATGTTTGTATCCTGAAAGCGCTGATTTAACTCGACCATGAAGCATTCAGACGCTCACCTTACTGCTGCTGTTCTCTGTGAGCGAGTCACTGCTGGTGGAGAGCTCACCGTTTGCTGACAAACTGTCCTGTAGGGT